GTCCACTTTTCCTTCTAAGGTCTGTCTTTTTGTTAAATATATATAAATACATATATATATATATAGATATATCTATATATATATATATATATATGTATCATCTAGGCCACAGCAAAGTCGGTTCTCCAATTGCTCCAACACAAGGCATGAATAAAATCTCTCTATCCCCCACCCCCCGACCAGGAAGCTGATTTCCTCCCTCTCTTTTTCACATGAAGTTAATTGGAGGTCTTTAATCAAAGCAGCTGTCCTCGAAAACTTGGATTCCGTTATTCTTCAGCTGGGCTCCTCAGATCCCCATGGACGATTTGGATCCCTCACTCGGGCTCCTATTCTCGCCTTCTTCGTACCACATCACCATTTTCTCATTTCCCCCTAACTTCACTGTTATCAAGTAGGCTAGGCCTGAAAAACACACCATGCAGTCCCCACGCCAGCTTCATGCAATAGTTTTATCCATTATGGGTGTCCAATGTTTCATGTGTAGTCGTCCTCCCACACCCCGGAGCCATCAAAAATGACGCTTTTTCCTCTATTTCTGTCTCTCTCAAACAATCTGGATGTCCACTTCAGCTCAAGACACGGGCCATAAACTGGTTCTCACGACACTTTGCCCCAGTCCTGCGCGGTTCATCATCAACAGGCTGAAATGTTCACACTGCAGGGTGTTATTCTAGCCAGTCGCTCCGATGTCAAACACCCTCCGTAAAACATAAAGCCATAATGTAGTCCGACAGAACACTCCTTCCATCAGCACACATTCACCAATTTAGGAAACGGGGAAATCTTGCTGGATGGCTCGCAAATATCCATTCAGGCATCCGCTGCCCGGTTGAGGATGATCCGCCTGATTTAGGAGGTCCAAACCCGGGTGCAGCTGGCTACACTGTCACCGGGCTCCACGGTTTTCTCTCATTCTTGTAGGAATAAAAGGATGTAGAGGTTGTCAGATACCACGTACCACCTCTGGAGAATGCAACCGTTTGATAGACACAGAATCTTCAACAACAAAAAAAACAGACCAAAAAAAAACAAAAAACAAGACCGATCCGTGTCCACAAGTTTCGGATCTGAAATCTGGCACGGCAGGATGATTCACGGTGAAACAGAGCGAAGATAAGGCAGGACCGAGCTACATAATGCTGATTTTGTGTTAGTCTTTTCTCTGCCTTTTCTGGCGTTTGCCCTTCCAATTCTTCAGCACTGCTTGACAGCGGCACATCCAATAAAAGCACCCGCAAGGATTGACCTACAGCCTTTACTGACGTTAATGCAAATGAGCTCCGCGCAGCTAATCGGCGTCGTGCTCTGCGCCGCTGGGTGGTCCTCCGCTTTCCGTGGGAACTTTGAAAGCAGGAAAAGGGCTCACACAGACGAACACGGAGCTGGCTGAAGGTAAGCTGAACTGTATGAACATTTTCTAAGGATTGCACAAGCATAGCGGGCGAAAGATGCTTTTTGTGTGTTTTTTACGGTCATATCACTGCAACATTAGTGTAATTTACAGCGGGGGTCGCTTTAAAAATCGCGACGGTGAAACCTATGGAATGCCAACTGTGCCAAAATTAAACCTTTATTGACACATTATTTAAAAAAGAAAAAGTGAAAAATACAGACACTTTTATAAATTAACTGTGTAATGATAGTGATTTTTTCCAAATAGAAATTTGACTTGATATCTGGTAGCACAATCATTTAAAAAAAGGCAGAGAAAATACTGGTAATTGCTTAGAATTATAATTTAAAAATACATTTACTAAATAAATAATTATAAAAAGATACAAAATTATAGGTGTGGTGAAGTGTTTGGAACAAAGGAGATTGAATGTTTCAAAGTAAATTGTATCAATATTATGCAATTTATATGAATGCTAAAGTTATGAGTTAATGTAAGATGAAGATGTTTTACACTCATTTTAGGTTTAGTGTCCATTTTATCAATGTTTGTTTATTAATTGTGTCTGTTTGTTTTGCTTTCAAATTCGTTTTTTTCCAACCAACTCTCCACAATCCAAAAGCATTTGGTTTACTAACATAACATCAAGAAAAGCAGCAAATCCCCACAACATAGAAGCTGATTTAAGACTTTTTAAGGTTTTTGCTTAAAAAATATCTCAATGCTACAATGTGTACACAGTGTATGATCAATTGTCTCTCTGACTAATCAACTAATCGACTTGTTTTTTTCTCTCTATTGTCTGTATTTTACTGCTGTATAGCACTTCCATGTTTGAAGACACATTTCATGACAGTATTCGTGTTCACCTGCATGGCAGCCTCAGCAACTGTCACATAATTTCTCTTTATTTCCTAAACTACTATAGCAATACAAGGGAAGAGACACAAAAATATGAACACTTTTATGATATACAGTATATTTAATCCCCACATTTAACCCTAGAACTCATTATGCTTGAATCTAATTGAGATTGTGAGAGACATATTTTCTTAAATCTATTATGGGGCAGTAGTATTGGTAGTTTTACTTTATTAGATTCCTGTTTTTGTGTAGTTTAGTGTATTTTTATCACAGTAAACAAATTAAATAATACCAAGAAACCCAATATTATTGTATATGAATATAATACAGTATAAACCAAGAAAAATACAATATGATACAAGAATGTCAGATAGCAGTTTGTTGTAGCATACATTTCTTATCAAAATATAAAATAAAGACATAAACAAGCTATTAGGTCCCTACTATACTGTTTGGCTCGAAATACCAAACAGATCATGCATTGTAGCATCCCATAAACCCCTCTGTTTCAAAAGTGCTGATTCTCTGTCTGTTACTTTAGATGAAAATAAGGTGCCACTCCCCACGCCCCTCTGAGATATATTTGCTCTAGGAGGAGATTCAGCTGATAAGGTGGGGGGGTTACCTTGGTTGTTTATTGGCTAATGGTTACGTAAGCCAAAATATCGTTATGACATCATAAAGTGGCAAAAATCTGATCAGCTCATTTTCAGACAGGTTTTTATATAAATGGATCAGGACTAAAAGTGAGCGAATCTTTTTTCCTGAAACTTTCAGAATCTCTTTACACAGAGGAGACACATGTTTATGTATAAAAGACATGGAAAAGTGGATTTTGCATAATAGGTCCTTTGTCCGGATTTACACAATGTTCACTTCAGAGGAGAGTGCTAACACGTTGCTTTTCTATATTTTAATGAACTGATCATTTATAAGTCAGTTCAACAGGGATAATGTAAAATAATTTAAAGAGGACCTATCACGCAAAATGCACTTTTTGATATCTTTTATACATAAATATATGTCCCCAGTGTGTCGGGGAACTCACGCAGTGTCAGAAAATAAAACCTTTTCTCTTTTCCTCCGTACCCAAATCTTTTAAAAATGGGGGTACATCGAGCGGATACAGATTTGCTGCCGATATGAGACGTCATATCGGCAGCAAATCTGTATCCGCTCGATGTACCCCCATTTTTAAAAGATTTGGGTACGGAGGAAAAGAGAAAAGGTTTTATTTTCTGACACTGCGTNTTTAATCTGATTCTGTGCAAAAACTAATAATCCACCAAAATAAATGTTGTTGCTAATCTTTGACATATCCAAGACTGTGATAAAAAAAAAAAGCCGACCCCCCCAACATTCATTATATGGAAAATAACTGCCTTTTTTTGCATGTTTTTCATAGAAAATGCAAATTCATGTTTTCAAACTGGCAGTTCAAGGGTTAAAATCCTGAACATAATTTAACATTTGGTATTTTTGATCAGGACTGAAGTTGATTGAAAGATTTAAGCCCAAAAAGTAAAAATAAATATTAATCTGTTGTCATTTTAGAGCAGTTTTTGGAAGTGGACATTTTTGTCCCGAATGACTAATATGTAACTTTTTTGTGCAATCTGATTTTGTGCAAAAACTAATAATGCAAAAAAATCAATTTTGCTGCTAATCTTTGTAATATCCAAGACTGTTATAAAAAAAAAAAAAAAAAATTGTTATTTTTGTGTTATGGATTACTTTTTTAAATAATTCAATTCAATTAGGGTCCCAAATATCAGCATCATCCCTTTAAATATCCACAATATCTCTGGATAAACGTATACACCATGCACAGAATTTTTTTTTTTTTTAAAGTAATATTGTTGGTAGTCTCTTGTAAGTGTACACGTTTTAACACAAATTATTAAGATTGGGAAGTATGGAATCACAAATAAATGCAGTAAACCCGAAATCAGCTTACCGGCACCAGCCACCAGGAACTTGGCGTCACAGCAGGAGAAGCAGTGCACCAGAGACTTGGATCTGATGTTGCAGTTCAGTAAAGAAGATATGCATCCCAACTTGGTAAGAGCGAGCCAGAGCCACACAAAGTGAGGCTCATTTCCCAGGAAGAGGGCCACCGTATCCCCCTCCTTCAGGCCGGCGTGTGTGGACAGCGCTCGCGCCACTTTGTTGCTCTCTTTGTCGGCTTGGCTGTAGGTGTACGAGCTTTCCTCGAAAATAATGAACTTCTTATGCGGATGTTTCGCCACTTTGTCCAGAAAACCGTCCAGCATACTGTAAAACGGTTTCCGCTTCTTAATTTTGTTAAGGATTATAGCAATTTTAATTGAAGAAATGGCGAAACTCAAATCTTGAAAAAAATAACGAGTTTTCAGGCGAAGCAATAACACCAAAAGTGCCAAACCTGCCAGAGCCGTGTATAAAATATATGTTATCATTGTTAGTCGGAACAAAAATGTCAGTCTGGCTGTATTAAGAGTTTAAACTCTCAGCAGCACACAACACAAAAACTGAATGGAGTCAGACCTTTGCTGAGTCGACGCACCGAACTTTGACCAATGTTTACTAGGGGAGTAACTGAAGGCTTCATGGGTGGAAAACACTTCTCCCTCCGCAGATGTCGAAATCAGATTTAAATAGTATTTTTTGTATGCGTTTACTGCTCCTCCCTCCTCAAATCAGTTTATTGTGTAATCATTC